GAAAGGGAACTTTTTATATCAACACATATTGAAATTTATAGATTTTTAATACACTGAATTAAGGCTGTTAAATCTATTTATGACTATTTATGATTATCAGTGTCCATCTGAATTTCTTTAGACATTTCGCTGAGCATTATCATTTCAAATAAGAGAAAGGCAGGGAGGACATGTCCTAGAGTGACACATTCCCTTAAATCAGTCACAATCGGTGGGTTGAATAACTGAGCTACAAATGTAGTCAGAGAAACGTGTTCACAGGACAGACAACAACAGCTATAAGGTGAAAACTATAAAATCCTGCACATGAAAAATCATTTTTTCTAGCTGCCTGTATAGCTTCAGCCTCCCTCCTGTGTTGTGTGAACAATGATACACTCTGCCTATAGTCAAATCAGCACGATACATACAAACTAAAGGGAAGCAGCTTTGGAATGCTGCTGTAAATGTAGTGTATTAAAACACGGCCATAATGTTTCATCGCCATCTCAGCAGGACTGATCTTCTTACCTCACTCTCTGCTAATCAGCAACAAATCTTTGGGCCTTAATCTACGGCCCCCTGCACCCTTCCGCCCATCTCATTAGATTAACAAAACGACATACGCATATGAACACACACACACACTCACACACACAGAGCTCATGACCTCAATCTGATTCTCCTTAAAACGTTAATTATAATCTGGTATGATTATGTTGAACTAAGGTGACGTTACGCACAATATTTTATCTGGAAGAAAATGCAAAAGACCGCTCTGGTTGGCTCTTACGTCTTTAATATGTCAAATAGCTACAAAAAAGAACAAAAACACTGTCAGTGAACTTCTCTTCATGTGACGTTTGAATGATTTTAAAACTGATTGTGTCTGTTTATTTAAACAGTTTGGGAATTCTATGTGTGTGCATCGTACACTAATGCATGTTTGTATGCCTCTGTTTGTGCGCGAGTGTGTGTGTGTGTGCGCACGTGAGTGTGTGTGTGTGTACAGCAAACATATGCAACCAAATTAAAGCCTTAAAGCTGTTGAATTGAAGAGGATTTTAAGCAGAGACCAAATCATGGGAATTAAGCAAATTAGGTCTCTAATTAGCCGCTGACATTGAATAGGAAGATTTGGCGAACAAAAAATAATTAGATGGTTTTGTCATTGTTCTAATGAACATCGTCAGAAAATAACTGCTCTGCATAGCTCCTGCTCCCTCTCTTGCTCTCTGAATTTATCCCTGTTTGTCCATTCAGATTCTAATCTAATGTCAAATACTGCTTTATTCAAATATTCAATAATTTGCAAATAAGAAGCCCCCGTGAGCCGAGACAAACAAACTTCAGAAAAGTCAATGTATGATCTAATCCTCTTAGGCTGAGGCACTGTGGATGTAAATGCCAACCTTTGCAAGTCAGAGAGGAATTTCACTATTGATGTAAAGCCAGACAGGCAAAGACTGACTTGATTCTTAGTGTGGCAACATTTTGATGTCACAAAATAACAACACCGGATGAACTGTCCAGCTTTAAAGTTTCAATCATATGTGCCGTGTTGCACAAAAAGACACATCAACAGATGTTTACATCACCATTACGGCTTCTACACTCCCCTTATTTTGACAGGGACTCTGGCTTAGTGTGTTCAAAAAATGTTTGATACATTTGATTAATTTCAGTGTTTGAATAGCTTTAATATTCTACTTCATGACATTCATCCTCATGTAGGGTTCTTCTCCTGCAGCCTGAAGGTCAGTGGCAGCCCTTACACAGCCTGCCAGCTCAATAAAGAAAGCGCACTACTTTAAATTTATCAGTTATTTTTGTCATATAGCAGCACATAAAGAGAACCAGGGAGCTTTTATTGTTCAGTTTACTTGTCTGTTATAGATTTCACAAAAAGCGCTAATGTCAAGGAATGCCACGGCCACCACACTAGTAGTTTAAAAAGCTGTAACCAGCACCAAATGCCAAAAAACAGCATATAACACAATCCACTGAACAGATGCATTACAAACACTAACAGTGTTTGATGAGTGCAGTTTTCCTGTGCAGTCCTCAATCACACACTGCCTCTCTAAACTGGCATTCAGTTGTCAAACCCCTAAGACCCCCTGATCTACATACACTCCCTTAAATACCCTCCCACTTCTCCCCAGTTAATCAGTGCCCCCTCCTCTCAATCTCTCACTGCCTCCTTCCCTTTCCTCCGCTTCCTTCATCCCTGACCTCCCGTGGTTCCCCTCTTTCTGCAGCCGAGGTTACGGATTACACTGTGTGATAAGCTTCCTATTTCTTGAAACTATTTAGGATTGCTGAGATTATCTGGCCTCATTTCCTTGGGAGTTGGCTTTGGAAAGCCTGATTTTAGTCTCTTAATGCAAAAGATTTTGCATCGCGACAGCTTTGACTAATTAGCATCTAACACCAGGTGGTATTTTAGCAAGGGCTCACTTTTAGCAACATCCGCACACACACACCCTCTGCACACACACATGCACGCAGAGCTGACAACACACTTTTTAATAAGCTGATTCCAAACACTTTATTTTTGTTATTCTAAAACATTCTGAATATAAACTCAAGAAGTGCCACAGCTTTAAGACATTCATTTTATTAAATCATCAAATGCCCTAAAATCACTTTGTTCTTACTCATTAACAAGCATATAAACATAATGTAATATTGCCAGAGGGCATTTCAGTTTTAACATCGCCTAATGATATAATCATTAGATTAAAAAATTTCTCTTTTAAGTAATAGTGTTTCAGGGCCAAACTGTTAGTATAGTATACCTCAACAGTACAAACAATTCAATCTCAGGGTACAGAGGCATTTAGGCCCAGGTGGAGCCCAATTTGTGGCTGCATGCTGGACCAAGGCCAGTAGAGTCTGGGTGCCAAGCATTGAAGAGGAAGTGCAGAGGCCTGAGGACAGCACCAGCAGGTTGTTCTGTGGGGACGGACGATGGCGGGGTGGTAGGGCGAGCTCAGGGAGGAAAGTGGGAGCTGTCCTGGCACCCTGCGTACCCTCCGTCTTGCCCTTCGGCAGTGGTAGTCTCCATTGGAAAAGTCCTGATAGTTCGATGGGTGGATCGCCCAGAAGTGGCCTTTACCGTTGTCGCTCCGGCCCGCTTTGATGAAACAGTCGTTTAGGGACAAATTGTGACGCACGCTGTTCCTCCAGTTTTTGTCCTGCGAACAAGAAAACAAATATGGCAGGTCAAAATTAAAGCAGGGGTCAAACAATGTGTCCCCATTGGAAAATTAACATAAGGGGCTGCTAAGTATCACTGATCCGCTTCAGGATGTCACCTTGTCCTGTTGTTGGCAGCATGAGCTGTGGCGTGTCAAGACCGTATATGATCTGAGTAAGTCACAACACCCTGAGTTACCTTTTTAGCACGTCAAACCAGTGATCAACTTTAATCCACTAGGCTTCACCCAATCTGTTGTAGCACCTGGTAAAGGCAGAGGCAGTTTGCAACCTAGCAACAGGATTACTTTATTTGTGATTTCGCCAACAACAAGATCATCTAGTGTCCCTGTGAGCACCTAATTGCCTAACCACTCAGACAGATTACCAGCGCCAAGTAGGTCGCTTTATTTGCGAAAATGGCGGCCACTTTAGTTTTCAGAGATTGAATTAAACACATTTGGGGAACGATGTTTTCTTGTAATCTGCCCTGAAACTGTTTAACAACATCAGCAAACATCTGCTTGGAAATTCTGCTTCGAATTATCGCCCAGTTTCACTTTGAGTTCCTGTACGGTATATCTATCGTTACGTGCTACATACATAGAAAACCACAATACATGAACATACCTTACTCTTGAAGTATGGGTAATGGTCCATGATCCACTGGTAGATGTCACACAGAAGCAGTTTCTTCTGCTCAGACGCCAGGATCGCTTTGGAGATGAGTGCAATGTATGACTGGTTGGGTTTGTCCGCAGACTTCTCTGTACCGCAGCTCGCAGACGTGGTGGTAGTGGTGGTGGTGGTCACTTCCTCCTCCCCCTCCTCTTTTTGGTCTTCATCCCCTTCATCTTCTTTGGCTTTCCTTTTTTCAGCATCTACCTCTGACCTCTGTAGACCCTTCTCTTGGATCTCACAGCGAATCCCCACCTCTTCGAGTTTAGGATTCTGACGACCTGGCATGTCGTTCGTTATCTGCTCTGCAGCACGACTTGCTGTTGCATCGTCTTTAGAAGCTTTGGCTCCTTTATTAAAGAGCAGGTAGTCAATTGTGAAGCTCAGTCCCAGTCTGTCTCTGCTTCCGTTGCGGCTGCTTCTTTCCTCCATTGTCATTTCTGAATTAAAATATCTCAAGCTCATGGCAGAGGTTTTATTGATTTCAAGCTGACTGTTGAACAGGTGTCAGGTCATGAATAAAAATATCGCTCCCAAACGTCTTCTCAAAACTGTGTATCTAAGTTGCACAGCATGTCTATTGTTCTTTAAAATTAGGAGCCTTCATAAAGCCAGCGTCTCGCTGCCACTAAATTCTTTCACCGAAGACTTACTGTTGACAAGATCACAGATAAAGATGAGCCTCTCAACTGTTGTTAACCTTGATGCGCTCACGAGTGACCCAATCTCAACCTGTGGAAATGACGTCAGTCGCCAAGACTAAATGCGGACGCTTCGTTTGCCAAGAAATATTCGGTAAATCTTTTCGATTCTTTGATAACCCTGTCAATCCAAACCTATCACTTGGTATCCATCAGCCTTTTGCTCCCGAATCAAAGAGTTGTGCTTCAAAGATGTGAAGGTGACTCTATTTATATGACTGTGATTTTATCCCTCACAGAAAGGGGCAAAGGAGGCACAGGGGAGGTCCAAGTGGGGGGTCTCAATTGAGGCGGATTATTTTTATTAACCTAAGCAAATCTTTGTAATTACGGGAGATTAAACACTCAAGATTTAGTAAGACATGGTGTGCAAAGGATGGATGTTAGGTGGATGTAGAATCAAAGGCCTTTTAGATGCCAGAGTTATCCTGTTAAAGTCCTTTTGTCCAGGATACTGTCCAAAGAATTACTTCAATTACCATCGAGGAGTAATTAATGGGTCAACTTCAGCACGTTGGAGATAAGTCACGTCTTTATTTGCAAAGACCATTAATGTCTCTTGCAGCCATCGACGGCGACGAGGTTGCAGAAAAGTGAAGCGTATGAATGACAAATTAGAAAGGTTCACTTCCCGTTCTTGATATAAACTCTTTTAATATTGGATTGTTCAACATCTTTATTTAATTTGTTACCAAATATCTTTTATTACTTCAATTATTAGATAGTGGAAAAATTATTTTTTAACATGTAACAATAAATTACTGCATATATACATGATTATTTTTAGTTCAGCTAACATAATTATATATTTTGTTTAAAATCTGTCTTAAAGATAAAAACTGTCTGTGGTTACTATTAAACCGTATTATATTGTGTTCTGTAACTGTGCAGGATATTTTACTGGCTAATATAGTTTATTTTTTCTGTATGCAAATAATTATTTCCTTTGACTTGAAAATTTGCTATTTCATTAAGTCGTTCATTTCTACATTTGATTAAGATTTATCTTTTAATGAAGGTTTTGTTTCAGATCCTTATGGAATAAAAATCTCCTTTAAATCAATTTTGACATGTTGTTTGAACATTTTTAAACCTTTCTCTGTAGGTATGTTGTAATGTCAACAAGAAGGAGATTTGGCTGAATCAGATTCAGCCAAATAAATATCAGATTTATTTATGTTACAATGTACAAATCAAACATCATGCTTCAAACTGCTGAAATTAACATTTTTGGCAATGTTAATTGATTTCATAGTTACAGAAAAGTATTGTTTGTGTGTTTTTGATCAGTGGAAAATTTCTTCAAGCAACACCACATTATGTGCATACTCTCTGCCTGCTTCTTCTAGTGCTTAACTGAAACTGTATCAGACTTACAGTCTATGGTAGGCTATACAGTCACCAGCCACTCTGTTAGGCACACCAGTAATGTGACATGATTGCATGACACAGTGCTACATATTTGCCAGTAAAGCTTTATGGGTGTATTTCCCCTCTAATAAACATATATTTCAACATAGTTTATTTTAAATTACAATATAATTATATTTACATACAAATACTTAAAGGTAGGTGCACTAGAATAAGGGGGTTTGGATGGAGAAACATTTTTCGTTTTTCCACAAAATTAACATGAAATTCCACCCTACTTAAAATGCAGTACCCCTAATTCTTTTACTTGTTGATAAATTTTAATAAAATGTTGTCATTTTAAATAAAACACATTGAAATTCCTTTTAATTACAGGGGAGTTACACCTTTAGTTGCAGATAGTATTATAAAGTGTTACCGATTTTCAGCTGCACATCCATTATGTGAATCTTCATTTTACCATATCCCAAAAATGCTCTGCTGGACTGAGATCTGGTGACTGTGGGCGCTGTTTGAGTACTCCCGTGTTCAACAAAGTCAACTGAGATCATTTGAACTTTGTGATGTCATGCATTGTCCTGCTGGAAGACACTGCAGTACACTGTGGTCATAAAAAGGATGGACGTGGTCAGCAAGAAACACTTACAAAACCTGTGGTGTTTAAACAATACTCAGTTGCTACTAAGGACCCCAAAATGTGCCAAGTAAATAGCCCCCATACCATGACACCACTAACAGCAGTCTGAACCAATAATACAAAGCAGGGTGGATCCATGCTTTCATTGTTCACCCCAGTTCTGACACTTGCATCCAAACGTAGCAGAAATTGAGACTGTCATTTTGTCCAGTTTTTCTGAGATCACTCAAACTTTAGTCTCATTTTCTTAGCTGACAGAAGGGTCAACATGTGTGTTCAGAGATGCTCTTCTGCCTCGGTTGTAACGAGTGGTTAACTGAGTTTCTTTAGCTTGCTTGTAAGTTCCAAACAGTCTGGCCAGAACCCCTTCTCACTGGATATTTTCTCCTTTTCAAGGAAAATAACAGTAGATCAACAGTTTCTGAAATACTCAATCCAACACATCAGATACTGAAACCCATATCGTGGAGATAGTCATCTAAATTACCTTTCTACACCATTCTGGTGCTCAGAATTTCAACAGCTCATCTTTACCACGTCTATGTGATATTTGCATTAACAGGCATTTGAACAAGAGTACCTAAAAAAGTTTATTTGAATCAGTGTGTGACAGTTATTCAACCTAAATGTTTTTTTTATTCTGAATATCTCTGGGATCTTACACAAATAAAAGTGTATTTTCAGCAGAGAATGGATAACGATGTAACTGTTTTAACATTAAGTATAATTAACCCACCCTGTTCTCGTAGCATTTACAGCTTTAGCCTGTAGGCATCAGCAGTATGGTGACCTGCTTTGTTCTTTCAGTTTAACAGAGGGGATGCACTTAATCACAGTCAGGTCAAATCATGGACCATATTGCCCTCTTCTGTTTAAGTAATGGAACAAGACACGCATGCACAACATTAAAACACCACTCTATGCAACCTTTCAAGCTATCATTGTAATTAGTTTTATTAAATTATTTTCAGCCTCATACTACGTTTTTGTAGTCACTGCAGTGACTACAAAAACGTGAAGAGTTAGAATTCTAAAAATAACAGCCTTTACTGTGTAAAACATGAAGCTGAGATTATGGGTTTTGTTTTGAGGGGGAGGTGCACTAAACAGAGAATGAATGCATGAATGACTGAAGTAAGGGAATCTCAGATTTCCCATTTAGGTTTTATTTGTAATTTAAATTAATATAATCTTTTTTTTGTAAGTCAGCACAGAAGCAGAGCAATCTGTTCTTTTTGAAATACAGCACTGCCTTATTGACGTTTCCCATCCAAAACGGAGCCACAACAAAACACGCCATGTTATTACATGATACTGCAATTCCCTCAATTGATTTTGGTTTTTCCATGAGGTTATTCTTTGCCCACATGTGAAGAGTTTTGGAAAAGCAGGGCTGGATCATCAATCGGAGCAGATATTTCCCTCAGCAAACATATTTCCATTTTGCTGATGTCTCAACACAACCTGGCATTTGTGATTCAGAGTAGGTATTGCAGGACTATACCGACAGTCTAAGGGTGTTTTCTTAATAAGTCGTTTTAATTTAATTATGAACATGCCTCAGACAAAGCATTAACGCCACAGCTCACGGCTGGTCGACTAACCTGAAATGGAATATTTTGCTCGGACGGGAATTGAAGGGACCATGCGACCCAATCCGTTTGACAGCCCATGCTTTCCCGTCACGCTGAATTTAAACTATCTTTAAGACACGAGTTCAGAATATCGCAAAACTATAAAATTGAAACAGCCTCAATATTAAAATACTTTGACACGTGGTGTTATTAATCGACACAGAGGCCTATTTTGGAAGGGAGACCTGCCTCTTAGTGTTTTTTAAAAGTTGTACTGTAACTTTAAAACAACGTGGTCCCGCCTATTTTCAGTGAATCGCTTCGGATGCTGGCAAAAGTCGCGCTGTGATTGGCTGGAGATGACTGTCTATCGAAGCAGGGTCATTGTTCCATTGGTGCAAGACTGGCCGTCGTCTCTGACTCTCGCGGTACTGCTGCACGAAGATGGCGGCCGAACTGGTGGAAGCGATGGCAAGTAGAGCTTGGTTGGCTTTGATTTGATAGGAGACGTGCGCGGGATTGTGGGCTGAAAGTCACCCCAGTTGTGGGGAAACTGTGGGTTTTGTGCGAATATTATTAAAGGGTATTTACTCTTACAAATGTGGTGTATTTCAAGCACGACGAAACGAACTAGCCTATGGTGCTAAGGTAGCTAGCCTGCCTGGAAATGTTAACCAGGCAAGTGCGTTGGTTCACCTAGCATCACGCTGGCTCTGGAGGAAGACACCGAAAATGAATGATGAGACCATATAAGCGTGTGGTTGTTTTTGGTCTAGCCTGCTTTCTGGCATGTTACCGTTTGACGTTATTTGGCTTACAGGAATATCTGTTTGTAGTTCACCGGTTAGTTTATTGAACTGTGCACCTGTCAAAATATCTAGCAGTCGTGATCGAATGCCGAGTGTGAAAAGCTAGCCCGGCGATAGCGCAGGCTACACTAGCAACGTTCAAGTGAGGTTGAGCAGTCTGTAACGCAGCTGTATTTGAAGCTCAGCGGTTCAGTCGGATCCATCCATAAAGTCCTGTTTTAAAAAAAAAAATATATATATATAGACATGAAGCAGTTCTCCACTTATGTCTATTTAGGCCATGTCAGACAAAGCTGAGGCTTGTCTGGCGGCTAAACAACAACATCCCGTGTTTTGCCCC